AAACAAAACATTTAACCACAAAATGTTTTTTTCCACTTGTGCCCCCACATTTAACCATATCATCTAGTTCATTCAAAATACTAAACAAAACATTTTTTTCACTCACCACAAAAAAAATAAAAATAAAGTAGTTGGTGACAATTTTTTATTATCAGCAACAAAGATGAATTATATTGATAAAAAAAATAAAAAAATAGAGAGAGAGAGATACAAAAGGAGGAGAAGTCCTCTCCAAGGATATCAAACAAATTCGAAGAAAAAGAAAAAACCAATTAAACATCACAAACCACCCTCCAATCTTGAAGAAATTAAAAAAAGGCACCCCTTTAAATGGAGTGGACACTATGAAGCGCAGTCCCACATCACTTGAGTACTAAAGTAATGTTAAGCAAATAAGTGTGAGGGCACCCTCACCTCAATAGCATGCGCCCAAAACTATACCAAATGACACTCTTTGTCCCACAACAAGTCCTCATCATCAAACTTCTCTTCAAAGATCCTTCCATTCCATTCCAACCAAATGATCCAAAATATTGCGAAGACAAAACATTGCCACAACACTTTTGCTCTCTTCTTGCCTCCCAAACCCCGGAAATCAATTAAAAGCATATAAGCACAAATCCCAGAGCCAACCAGTGAGAATCAACCAAAAGAAATAGTGAATGCCACAGTATAGTGAAGAAATAAATGAATCAAGGATTCCCCATCCCTCCGACACATGATGCACCATTGAGGACAGAGACAGCAATTAGGTCTCTTCTTTGAAAGGTATCATTGGTCATAATGCTTCCATGAGCCAGCGACCACGAAAAGGTCTTCACCTTAAGAGGCACAAATGCTTTCCAAATTCTTATATGATATGGAAAAGAAAGTACATTAGGCTCATCGATTAGTTTATAAAAAAAGGACTTGCATAAAAAAAAATGCTGGAGGGGTGAATGCCAAACCCAGTTGATGACAAATTATCCATAAACTTTTCTGGTGGATGTGTGGTCTTAGGCTTCCTTAGTATGCATATGGCTCTCACTCCCTCCAGCCCTTTCTCCATCGACTCCAAATGTGAAGTCCTGCATAATTGAAATAGTAATATTAATAGTTCAACCAATATAAACTTTATTTTATGTGTACATTTGTGCAAAAAACAATGCTCACTTTGTCAAGTACCACACATGGAAGCACTTTGAAAATATAGGTTCGTGTGTATTGCTTAATAATGGCGCAAACCAAATCACAAAATGCCAACTGGGATCAAAATCCTCAAATTAGGTATGGTTCAATGTTGCACTATAAATTAAGCCACTGTTGCAATTTTAAATAAACAGAAACTACCTCTAAACAAGCTTGGCAATCAAATAGACAAATTGATGTTAAATTCTAAGCATTTCATGAACCAAACACTGTGTGACAAGAAACCCCCAATATGAAAAACAACCCACAAGTTGCTTCCACTGATGCATTCTTGTCAGTTGGGCCATGCATGGGTGGATAATGTATCTTTACTTATTTATTAATTATTTTGTAGTACCTTTTTATGTCTGGGTTGAATCTTGATTGGCACATCACAATTTAGAGAAACAACTCTTGTATGTTCATGGGTTTGAAAACTAAGTTGAAACAACTCTGTGTTTTCAACACAACAAACAAACAATTGTTTCTCCACTGGTATCTTCCACTCAACAATCCAGAGCAATAAAATCCTCAAATGTACAAAAACACACAACTTTGCATTGTACAATTGAAGAATTGAATTCATATTCAAGCTTTGTATCATTTTGCTTTCTTCATCTAGTTTTTACACAGGAAACAAATCTCTGTAACTCCTGAATCTTGATTGTGAGCCCATGCAAGAAGTTTGAAAACACAAAATGCTAATACCAAACTTGAGATTCCAACTGGGTTTTCAAACCCATTCTTGCAAAAACAAAAGACCTGATAGAACATTTCTAGAAAAAACAAAAGACCCTTTGAAAGATTTCAAGCACCAAACTTTCTGAGACATCAATACAGATAAATTCAACAAATATTTCCAGTTTAAATTAAGTTCATACGATGAGTTGACATTTTACTGTTCTCTTGTAATCTAATTCATAAACTTGGAAAACTATATAGATCTAACCGACAGCAAAGCACTTTCTCTTCAAGCTCACTAGAAAGAGAGGTAATTGCACTTAGTAAAACATCAATGGCCAAAACAACAAAATGGAAACAAATGAGGGTGTTCGATAAGAAACACCACCTTTTTCTCTGCAAACTTGATGTGCCCCAAAAGCTCTAAATTTAGATAAGAACATGAAAAACATGAAGGGCATAGAGTGAGGGGAAATCAAAAGAGAGGTTTGCCAGACTAATTTTAGAAGGTAACCAAGTCAAAGGAAATGGTATGATAACTTGTGTCTATGTAGACATGCAGACACATATGCAAACATAGAAGTACTTTACAAAACCAAAAAGCTCTCATGGCGCCAAAAAAAGAGTGGGTAAATTAAAAATACACCCCATAAGATTTGCTTAAAATACAGATTGTTCCTGTGATTTTGAAAATCACAAATACCCCATTGTCAAAATTTTTTATTTAATATAATTAACATAAAAAATGAAATTCCTAACTACTCTCCTATGCAACAATAAAATTATCAAAATTATTAATTAAAATATATTTTTGACATCATTAAAATTGTTAATTGACTTAATGATTAATTAATAAAAGGAGTCATTTGTTATGCAATTATAAATTTAAAGGGCCAAGATGTAATTTTGTTAACCACCGGGGCAATTCATATTTTAAGAAAACCTCAAGGGGTATATTTGTAATATATCCAAAAAAAAAAACCACAAAATGTATTGTAAATAATTAGAATTTTGTATGCTTTTGGATAGTGACGGCTATATAGCCCAAAAACTCTCAGTGAGCTTGTTCTCCTACCTATAAGCAAGAAAATCACATATTAATTCTTACTTCTCCCCTATTTTCCTCACCAAATAACTATATATAAATTACCCTCATATTTTAAGACAAACGAAGATACAACACTCAGGTGATCTAAAGTGCTTGGCAGGCTTGAATTTGGTGGAGTTTAAGCACGACATAGGCAAAAATTTGTTCCTTGACGTAGCCAAAAGAGTTGGCCCATGACGACAAGCCTAGTCTAAGTCATGTTGTGTGCCCTTGCCTTATTCTTTTTAGTACATAAATTGGCTACTCAACAAGGTTTGTGTTGGTTGAGGTTTAGGCATTGATGTTCTAATCTTCTCACTGCACAATTGCCTCCTTCAATTTGATTTTATGTTAATAGCCCATTAGTGCTTGCTTGGTAGCAGCTCTAGTCTAAGTGACTTGAAATTATTCACATGGGTTGAAGAGTTTTGTCAAATGAGATGTAAGCTCCTTTCCAAGGTGTTGTCAAAGTCTTTGACCAACTCAACTACACAAAGTTGTGCTATAACTAAATGAGACCCATAAGATGGTTGACCTTTCTCACTTTCACGTCATTGGAGAAGCTTTATCATAAAGGAGTTACACCTTTGTTGTGATCTTTAAGTCGAGATTTGTGTGGCTCACATATTTAATATGACTTGATAGGTAGGAGAGAATATGGGGTATTGTCCATAGTGGCCTATGGGAGCATTTGCCCCCCCCCCCTTCAAAATGAAAGTTTGCTTTAGTTGGTATCCCTATCTTTACATAAGTGGTTCGAAAGGCCCCTAATTGTGAAGTTAGTACGGCCTTTGGTGTTGAAACTGACATATGTAGACACCCTAGTGCACTTCTTGAATTTGTAGCATAAAAGGGTTCTAATCTTGCACTTGGTATTATTGTAGATGCTACCACCTCAAGGGCTGTCAAATTATTGCATACAGTTTGGCTAACTTTAGATTCAGGAAGGTCAAAATGGTTAAAGTGTTTTTTATTTCTTGAACATGCCAACCCTTTTAAATCGATAAATTTTAAGAAAAGGGAAATTTGCAAAAGCAACTTTCTTAAAGTTACTAAAAGTCTGGCATATCCAGCCTACCTTTAGAAGGCCAACAAATAATCGGCAGAGTCCCTTTTTTGTTGGTTTTCCAGCAAAAGCTGTGTGACTTTGAAAATGAAAATCTAAGTTGCCTTCATGGGGATCTTCTATTTGCACACCACACTTTGTCTTAGTTCACACCATTTGTGTCGTTCAGTTATCAATTTTCGAACGAAAATAAAATCTTCAGATATCAACTTCCGAACAAAAAGCAATTGTTTGAATATCAACTATCGAATAGAGTTTATATCCGAACAATTCATTTTTGTTTGGAAGTTGATATCTGAACTATAAAATAGTGTGAATTGAGAGATTTTGTGGTGTGCGAATAGATTCTTCCTATGATGCAAAATGGACCAAAATACCATCACAATAGGTTCATGGTGCAGGGTACCCTTGTAGTAAAGTGTGGTATTGTGATTGTGTCTAAGGCCCTTAAGACAACCCCAATGTTGATGTGACATGAAATAGGGATGACATCAGCATGGCTTTTCAACAAGCACCCCTGTGTTGACCCTAATAACTTGCTGTCAAACTTTAGCTGTTTTGGGTGTCCTATTCATAAATCAACCGGTGTCCTACGGGCAACACCACTTATGTGAGCTCAGTTTATGTGAAGAAAATAAATTTGTTGAAATCTTGTTTTCTTTATTGTTATTCTTCTTGGTCTATAGTGTATGTTTGTAGATGGAATGGAGGATTCTCTTTGCACTAATTTTATGTATACATATGACATATATATTTATTTATTGTAGTGACCTTGCCGTGTTGTGTTGTGTTGTGAATTTTTGAAAATTGTTGTGTCAATGTGTCTGTATTGTGTTGTATTCCTATCTCATTTTCATATCCGTGCTTCTTAGGAGACTACCCTTGTGACTAATGATTTATTAGGTCCACGCTCTCAAATACTTTTTTCCTCTTCTTCTTATTCTTCTTTAAATGTTTAGTGATTGTTAAAAATTGTTCATGCCTCTGCTTATTTTACAGGAAGCAAGCTTGGCTATCCCATTATTCTCCCCAGTTCTTGTCCCAATGGCTCAAAGCATTGGACCGCTTCTGTCACAGATTACATCATCACCAACAGTCCGCCTTGGGGTGAGAATCTATTCACTAATGTCTATCATCTGGACTTGAATATGTGGTCAAATTAGGCATGCCTTTCTGTAAATAGTTATTAGAGAATGATAATGGTGATGATGGTGATTCCTTGAGATATTACAAACAAAAGTGGTGAAACAAAGTGAGAAAAGAGAATAAGATTGCATGTCAAACCAAATTAAATCATCTCTTAATACACACAAAGTTTTGAAAGGCTTTACTAAGGCTCACGTCAAAGTGAGGCTAAGGCAAAAAGCCTCAAGGCTTTGATTTTTAGGCTTTACTTCCCAAAAGCTTGTGTACACAGTCTGAGACATGCGCCTTAGGTGCGTTTTGTACGCCTTTTACGCGTAAGCATGTGAGGAGTATGCATATGAAGTGTTTTCCTTAGGTTCTTGTTAAACTTAGTCTAGTAGATGGTTTTAAAAATAAAAAAAATCATTTTGCAACTATATTCTATAGGAAAAATTAAGTAAATGACCAATTAAGAAAAAACACAAAGATAATGCGCAGTAGGAAGCTCAATTACTAAAGCTAAGAATACCAATTTCAGTTTCAATAAAGCAAAGTTTCCTTCTCTGTAGTGAGTCTTGAGCAGAAAAGTATTTACACCTTTATGTTTAATTTTGATGTATTTATTTATTATTTTAAAACCTCGCTATTTTATTTTAGTAAATACACCCAAGCAGTGCGAGAAAAATTATCAATAAAGGTGACAAACCATCTATGGCCTTTTAATGAAACAACACGAGAAGGAGCTCAAATATCAGAATGAATTAATGAAAAAAGAATGAAACTCTTATTTATACTTGGAGCAAAAGAAACTCGGTGTTGTTTTTCAAATTGACACGACTCACAATGAAACTCAGAAACATTATTGTTCTTAAAAGAACAAGAAACAAATGCTTAAGTAATAAAAAAGACGAATGTTCCAGACGTTGGTGTCAAAGCCAAATGTCATCCTTGGTGGTTGGAGACTAGATCGTATGATGAGCCAAGTGATCTGCATGATCCAAGATATAGTGACCATTCTCTACTCTACCACTATCAATTGTCCTCCTTGTGATAAGGTCCTGAAAAAGACAATGATCAGGAAAAAAAGGTTACACTACAATTCAAATCCTAAGTAAAACGACTCAATGATAGAAGATTAACAGAGAAACTGAGAATATGTAAAATTGATGACAAAGGTAAAGAAGATGTGGCATGGATTAAACCTTTCCGAAAACAGAAGAAATGTTATCATCGGCAATCCTAACTTTATCCTGACTTGAAGAGGACTTATATTCTGAGAAAAGATCAGAAGATCCAGTCATATGACCCGAGACACCAGAATCAATAATCCGAGGCAAAGCTTTATGAGATAGGAAAGCACTTGTAGAAAAGGCTAAGTTACCTAAATGGGCAAACGAAGAGGAAGATGTACTGGTAGGAGTAATGGAAGTCCGGCAGTCTAGCAAGTAATGTAGGGCATCCTCAAACTGAGAAAAAGACATACCAGACACATCATCAGTAAACTGAGCAGCTGGAGCGGAGTCATGTGTGTCAACTACACTAGAATGATGGGCACGTAGGTTAAGCTCACGTCCTCGAGACTTTCCAGATAGACTTCCTCGACCATTAGAGCAGTTACTATGACCCTTAGATGAAGTATCATGAAGCTTCTAACATGTCTCACAAGTGTGTCCAGGCTGGTGACAGTAGTCACAAAATAAATTATCCTTCTCAGAAGGATTGCATGAACCATGAGACAGGACAATCCCCATCTCTAGGAGGAGCAGAAACTAATGCAAAGCACTTTGTGGAGGTAAGAGGAAGCATAGCTGAACAACAACTCTCCTTATTCTGTACATAAGCAAACACTTCGTAAAGGGAAGGAAGAACATCCATGCCAAGAACATGACTCCTAACAGGATCAAACTCCATATTGAGGCCTTCCAAAAATTTGATGACTTTTTCCTGTTCAATAAATTTTTGGTACCCCACAGAATCCTTTAGGCAAACTGGTTTGTAGTCCTGAAGGTGATTCAGATGTTTCCAGCCATTACTAAGGAAAGTGAAGTACTGAAGAATGGTCACCTCGCCCTGTATTGAGCACTCAATCGAGTGGCGCAACTCAAAAGTCTGTGAAAAATTTCCCTTCCAGGAGTAAATAGTGGCCACAACATCCCAAATATCATAGGCTGTCTCCATAGATAAGTAACCCACACCAATATCAGGAACCATGGAATGGATGAGTCATCCCATAATCAAAGAATTGGTAATCTCCCATTGGTCATAACTAGGATCAGTGATATCTAATGCTTGGACTCTCCCCGTCAACGTAACCCATCTTCCCCTTACTCTTCAGAAAAAGTGTCAGACATTGCAACCACACAAGGTAATTCTAACTATTAAACAGAGAGGTGGTTATATTAGGGCTCTGATTCAAGTTCTCAGGCGTAGTAGGCATAATGGAACTCTCCTCTTGAGGTGGGTGAGAAGTAGTGGTGGATCCACTAGGCAGGTCAGCCATTTATATGCTACTATCTCAACCAAAAAAATTGCACTAATCACAACGACGGGAAGATGGGATGGAAGGAACAAGCAATGGCAATCACACCACTATGGGAGCATAACAATCAAATTCATGGGGCCATCTATGCACCCAAAAAATAAATGAAATAGTGGAGGAAGTAAACTTCAATCAAAATAGCAGTCCTGGGGTCTCGAGAACAATAAAATAAAATAAAAACGTAGTAATGGAGAGAATGAGAACAAACAAATGTAATCAGACCATGGGCTAGATGAATGAGCCTTGTTGAAGTCAAAAAACCCCTAAAGCCTATGAAGTGAAGCTCGAAACAAACCAGAGAAGGTCCAGAGTCTCTTTGTAAAAACTAACAGACCATGGGTAAGTGCCGACAACCCTAGAACAGGGTCTAGAGGCCTTCGGCTTGAGCCGAAAGCACGTAGAGAAGGGTTGGTTGAAGCCAAAAGCCCTAGAACAGGGTCTGGAGCTCTTCGGCTTGAGCAGAAATCACCTAGAGGGGTGTCGGCTGAGTTAGGTGGCTTCGGGTGGTGATGGGTAGTGGTGAAGTGGTGGTTGGGTGGTGTATGGTGGCTGTGTGGGTGATGAGTTTAGGGTTTGGGTTTTGATAGCATGTTTGTTTTAGGGAAAATCAAACTTAGGGAATGGTGAGACCATCACTCCCTTATATATTAATAATAGGAAACATACAATAGAAGCCTCAAGGCACAAAAGGAAACTAAAACTAATGACAGCTAATTTAAATAAATCACAATAACGAAGATATTATTCTAACATTATTTCCCTTACAAGGTATTGTGTGCCTTGAGCATTATTGATATAAATATGATGGAATGAGGGAGAGAACCCTAATTTACTCTCTTCTCTAACTCTTTTGTCTTGCATCATTCTCTCTCGACCTTTTTAATCATCTTCTATTTTGTTTTTATTTCTTTTCTCTATATCTAACTATAATCCTTGCCACTAATAATTAAAAAGAAAGGGCCATTACCAAATGGTGGTTTTATTATGTTTGCATGCTGTGCGTGGTAGATTGTATGCATTATTCATCTGTATTTGTTTCCATCATATTTATCATCTTTTTCCTAAGAATTGATTTTCTCAATTCTCTTGGCCTTTTAAAATGATATTTGACAATTAGGTACGTGTGGATGGCATAAATGGGTGCCTGGGTTGGACCATTTTTTCTTTTACTAATAGACTTGAAGCTATTGCTTTTTATGCACCACTGATTTTTTGTGATGATTTAAATACAGGCAGAGATGACTATGAAACAGTTAGAGAACCTTAGCCCTCCCATAATGAAGCAAGTTCTTCCTCTGGTTGAGCAACTTCCTCCTTTGTACACAGACTTAGTCAATGGAAAGGAAAATTTCACTCCAAAGCCAGAAGAAACAAGACGACTAGTATGCCAAACCTTTAACTTCTATTATATTTCATTGATATCTACTATGTTTTCATGAATATTTTTCTGTTACCTTTTGTCATGATGCACATGTTTCTCTCTCACATAATTTTAATGTAATCATGTTGTGTAAGATTTTGTGACTCACTTTATTAGGAATGTGCACTTATTCTGTTAAATTGTACAGTACGTCATTTTCCTTGGGTCTTCAAAATCACAAACAATAGAGGGGTGGCTTGGTGAATGGTGTTGAATATAGAAATTAGAGTATATAGAATCTTTTTATTTTTAGTATTATGTATATAATCTGTGATTGTGTCAATCACAGATTTAGTGCCTTATTTATATTGTTTCCTTGTTTATATCGTTCCTAAATTGTATCATAAATCTATTATATATACATGGCCTCTACCTCATTAATGGGTAAGCCAAATCATTCTTTTCATCTCTTTTGGTATCAGAGCCAGAGCACAGAAACCCTAGTTCTTTGCCTAGCCACTGTCGACACCTCTGTCCCACTGCCCAGCCACTGTTTCATTTTCTTCCTTCCTCCTTAAGTGCCGACAACCCCCTTCCAGCCCTGTATTTCACTCGACAGCCCCACCCAGCCAGCTTAGACCCCCCGAAACCACCTACCCAACCCTCTACACCCCTTGACAGGCTGCCCTAGTGCTGTTGAGAGTCTTGTTGGCTGCCGACCAGGGTGTTTCCTGGCCATAGATGCTTCGGCAGCTCTTCTGGGCAGTTCAATTCCTATCGTTTTCCTTTTTAGGGTGTGGTGCTAATGTACTAAGCACTTTTTAGCCTTTTTTTATTTAATGGACTACTAGATTTGTTCAGTAGCATTTATTTGGACTAGCCGTTGAGTTTTTTTCGGCTTTTTGTATTTTTCTAGACTGTGTTGCTATGATTTTGTGCTTTCTAGCGCTTATTAATCCACCATGACTGACCCATCCTATGTTGATTCCAATATGCCCACCAAACCTATATCAATGACTTTTGATTTTTCTCTCTCTCATCACACTCCTGTTCATCGCATTACGAGTGTGGTGTTGAATGGGAAAATTTTTGCTGCTGGGGGCCGCTCCCTTAAACACTATTTAGAGGGAAAGGGAAAGACCCATTGGCTCTCATCTTCTATTCAGCCTGCAGCGACTGATCCTACATGTGCCCAGTGGGATATAGATAATTGCACTATTCTAGGATGGACGTTCAACTCCATAGAGGACCATATTTACCACATGTTCCTTTATTGTGACACTGTTTCGAGTGTTTGGCGTGCCTTGTCTCAGATGTGTGCCCATGCTCATAATGATGCTCACATCTTTGAGCTCTATCACGACATTGCTCGTGCCTCCTAGACTGCTTTGGGTCTCTCTGTGTTAGAGTTCTTTGGATACCTTCAGGCTCGTTGGGAGGAATTAGCTCAATATAAGCCCTTGACTGAGTTACCAGCAGAAGTCGCCGCTCTGGTGTCTAGCCGCCTTGCCCGCTAGCACACTTACCAGTTTCTGATGGGTTTAAACTTTGAATTTGAATCTCTTCGAACTCAGATTTTAAACACATCGCCCATGCCATCCCTCTATGAGGCCTTTGCCACCATTGATAGTGATGACCGTCGTCAGCGTCTAGTTCCGCACACCACTACTCAGTGACTCTTGTCTTATCTGACAAGATGGCCCTTGCTGCAACCTCTGGTTCTCGGGGTTCTACTGATTCAGTTACCTGTCATCATTGTGGGGCTCCTAGTCATGTCAAGGCTCGCTGCTTCAAACTTCATTCTAAGTTGAGACAATGATCTTCTCGCCCTCGTGGTTTTGGCACACCTCGCACTGCTGCTTTAGCGGAGGCCTCATGCTTCTGGGTCTCTGAGTATTCCTATTTTACAGCAGTTACAGACTCAGATTGGCTAGCTTCAGACTCAACTTGGGACTTTGACTACTAGTCCTCTACTACTACTACTCACTACAGGTACTTCTATTGCTTTTCATGTTTGGTCTGCTGGTTCCTCATGGGTTTTGGATTTTAGGGCTAATGATCATATGACGGGTGAATTTTCTCTTCTTTCATCTCCAGTTCCTACTACTATAGACCAATCTGTTTGTCTTGCTGATGGGTCTTTCTCCTCAGTTCGTCACAAGGGTCAAGTGTCTTTATCTCCTGATATTACTATATCCTCTATTTTACATATTCCTAATTTTACATATAATCTACTATCCATTAGTCGGCTTTGCCAAGTCCTTCAATTGTGCTGTTACTTTCTTACCTTCTTCATGTCTATTATAAGACTTGAGTTCAAAGAAGGATTTTTGGCAAGGGATATGAGCGCAATGGACTTTACTACTTTGGGGATCCACCAAAACAACCGCCTTCTACCTAAGCTAGTTTTCTAGTGTTTGTTTTGCCTATTTCTATATCTTGTATTTTAAATGTTCAAACTTCAAAATTGTGGCATGCACATATGGGTCATGTCAATTTTCAATACTTACGTCAACTTTTTCCTTTATTAAATAAAGCTTGTAAAGATTCTAAGTTTCATTCTGCGGTTTGCGAATTATCTAAACATACTCGTACCAGTTACATACCTCATATGACTCGTGCCCCTAGTGCTTTTAACCTTATACATTCCAATGTTTGGGGTCCGTCTTCTGTTCCTGCTTTTTCTGGCCATTGATATTATGTCACCTTTATTGATGACCACACTAGATGCACTTGGGTATATTTGCGCCGTTGTATGTCTGACGTGTTTTCCATTTTTGGTTCAATTTTTGCAAATGGTTAAGACTCAGTTTTGTACAATTGTTAGGAATACCCATTCTGATAATGGTGGGGAATATATTTCCAATGTTTTTCGCTCCCATCTTAATTAGACTGGTATTCTTCAACAACTTACATGTCCATGGACTCCTAAGCAAAATGGTCTATTTGAACGTAAAAATCGTCATACTATGTCTATTGTGCGGTGTCTCCTTCGTGGTATGAGTGTCCCTAAGTCCTATTGGCATATGGTTGTCCTCACCGCTGTCTATTTTATTAATAGGACCCCTAGTTGTGTGTTGCAGGGTCTTACTCCGTTTTATGTTCTTATGCCCCACACTATCCCATTTCCTCTCCCACTTCGGGTCTTTAGGTGTACCTGTTTTGTTCAGGATCGGAGTCCCACTCATACCAAGTTAGATGACATGTCTATTCATTGTGTCTTTTTAGGGTATTCTTCCATGTCAAAAGGGTATAGGTGTTTTGATCCTGTATCTCGTCACTTTCACCACACTTTGGATGTTACTTTTTTGTGAGGATCTCCCTTTTTTTGGTACTAACCCTTCTTTGTAGGCTTCTACTTCCGTTCCTTCTAGTGTTCGCCCTATTCCTATTTTGGAAGAGGTTACAGATGAGGTTGTCTTCTCTCCTCATTCTCCATATCTGCCTCCTTCACCGCCCTCATTGCAGGCATACTCTTGTCGCCCTCGTTCTCAGCTCTCCCCTGCCGCCTCTCCGGTCTTTGGGTTAGGTACTTCTCCTTTACATACATCCCCTCCACCTCCTCGTTGTAATTCCCCTTGGGATCAACATCCTCCAAATCGTTGGGGTTATTTGAGTAGTGCTAATCATCCCATTTCCCAATATCTTTCATATGACAGGGTCTCCCCTACCTATCACTCTTTTCTTGGCAAGCTTGAATTCGAGGCCATTCCTCGTTCTATGTTAGAGGCCCTTCAAAATCCGAAATGGGTGGAGGCTATGAGATGACAGCTTTAGAACATAATCATTCTTGGGATTTGGTTCCTTCACCGTCTGGCGAGAGTACTGTGGGTTGCAAATTGGTATTCACTATTAAGTATCTAGCTAATGGCTCCGTTGACCGTTACAAAGCCCGCTTGGTGACTAAGGGCTTCACCCAGGTTTCTGGCAAGGATTTTGGAGCCACTTTTGCACTTGTTGCCAAGCTTATCTTGGTTCGTCTTCTCATCTCTCTTGCAGCATCCCATTCTCGGCCTCTTCATCAGCTTGATGTCAAGAATGCCTTTCTTTATGGGGATCTTCTTGAGACGATTTATATGACACCTCCTCCTAGTTTTCGGGGTGAGGGGGAGTATTAGAGGAAAGTGTGTCGATTGCACAAGTCTTTGTATGGCTTGAAGCAGTCTCCACGAGCTTGGTTTGGTCGTTTCAATTTTGTCATCATATCCATAGGGTTTGTTCAGTGCCACTCCGACCATACTTGCTTCATCCGTCGTAATTCAATCGGTCAATGTATAGTCTTGTTGGTTTATGTTCTGTAGGCATTGATGTAATAAAAAGTGATTTGGGACACACTTTTGATATTAAGGATTTGGGGAGCCTCAAGTATTTTCTTGGGATTGAGGTGGCTCACTCACGGCAGGGAATTTCCTTATCTCAGAGAAAGTACACTCTTGACTTATTTCAGGATACTGGTATGTTATGGATCCCAATGTCAAGCTCACATTAGAGTCTGGCAAGTTGTTAGAAGACCCAGGCATTTGAAGTCAGTGGTTTTAGTCAATTCATGCAGGCACCTCGTGCAGAACATCATGATGCGGTTATCACAATTTGAGATATTTGAAGAACTCTCCTGGCTTGGGATTATTCTTTATAGCCCCTCATCAATCTGGGCTCTCTGGTTTCACTGATGCTGACTATGCAGGATCTAGAACTGATCGGTGTTTTATTTCTGGCTTCTGTACTTTCTATGGTGATCATCTTATATCATGGAAGAGGAAGAAGCAGGTAGTTATTTTTAGATCTTCAGCAGAAGTTGAATATAGAGCTATGGCACAGGAAACATGTGAAATTCTATGGCTTCGTTCTATCCAAGCAGAATTAGGTTTTGAGGAGACTGGTCTTGCCTCCATATTTTGTGACAAGTCTACTATTATGCTATCCTCTGATTCTGTCTTTCATGAGCGTACAAAGCATATAGAGTTTGATATTCATTTCATTTGAGAAAAGGTTCGGACTGGTATTGGGAGTCCATCATTTGTC